ATCATCATTTTCTTCACCTTTATTTCGCTTCAGTCTGCAAGATATTTCCTTCGAACTTGTCATATACTCTTGAGTACTTTTGAAATATTTGCAGCCAGTCGTTTTACAAGTTGGCAGCCAAATGAGGGGAAAATGTTACATGGAGCGGAAATGGGCGTCTAGTTGCTCTGAAATAGGTCAGGTTTCTATTCTTCGGATCTCTAGCTGGAATGGCAGATCATTGTACCGGCCGAACGAACCACAACCCAGCCAACACTTATTTCGAAAGCACAGTGGAACCTCGGACCTTATAGCCGAAACCTAATTCGGTTGCACTTAACAGGTTTTGAGGTTGTTCCCCAAATCACTCAATTGTTTCCGTTGGCCTTCTCCATTTATTGGATTTCTGGTAAGCTGAAACCCCACAACTACACATTCATTATATTACAGAGTATCGCTTCACATGACAGTGTACCATGAGTTCCTCAAACTTTGGGTGCTCTGCCGACACTTTGTGAACTTTGAGCGCATTGCATGCACTCTAGAAGATTCGATCGCATTCCATGCACTCTGAGCAATTCGGTAGCAATTACGAGACTCCATGAATTTCTTTTTTACTACAGACACTGGGTATTCCCCGAAATTTACAAATACCTTGATGACGTGCACCAGAAATCATTTGGTGATTGCACTCTTAGCCTTAACTTGGTCTCCAAACACACTTATTACTTTCCAAACTTTTCACGCGTTCAGAATGAGTTTACCGTATGAATATTAGATGCCATCACCGAAAGCACTGAACCTTTATTTAGTGCACCGAGCTCGCCGCTGATGGCCCGACCTTCCTGTTCACAAGACTTTGGTTGATGGTGATAGGTGGACTCTTTTTTTGCTGGGTTCAGCGGGCTTGTGTCTCATTTGGCTTTGGGAGGGTTGCAGTTTGCTGCCGTTTCGGTGAGTTACTGCCTTCGCTGTATTTTATTACATGCCGCTTACTTAACACATCGGCGCTGCTTATTAGACTTTACCAGTGACTGAAGAGCAACTACTTACTACCAACGTATTTAATCCAAGCAGTTCATTTGCAAATCGTCATAAAATACCTGACAGCTTTGTAAAGAATATTGTTCGAAAAAGTATACACAGAATTATAATGATAATAACTCGTTGTTTGCGCAACTCGAAGTTTGAAGATTAGTTTATTCGATTCTCGGTCATCTTTGTTTTTCGCGGTACTAGTCGCGCTCACTTTAGTTGTGGAGCTATTGTCTTGATGGTAACTGTTTTTGAAATTGATTACGACATTTTTCACATGTAATACACACTATTTTCCAGCTTCATACCAAACACAAACATACGCGCTTCCACGTGGGTAATTACCTTTTATCCGTGGCACATTAAGGTATTTGTTTTCAAAGCACAATGTTTCTTTGTGAATAATATCCCGTGACACTAGATTTAGGAGACTACTGAAAATTGGTTTTTCGTTACTTGGTGGTGCCGATAACAATAGACCCTTGTTATCTCGTTGGGTTTAACCAGTTGATTGAGAGCGTCGACACTTGCATCGCACGTTGACGGAACTGGATACTCACTTCAGGAAGGCTTTGTTAGTCTGACTGCATGGTATACTCATATGTTTCCAGCACAAGATATTTCACTGCTTGAATCATCCTGGTGACAACCACCCAGCTGGTAAAAACTGTAGCACATCGCAACTTTCAGTCAGCATTGCACCTACTTCGGTATTTGCTCCCCGGTAAATCCCAATACAGTTCGCAGTAGTTACAAATTTTCAAGAAACTCTTTGTGTATCAAAGGTTCTCAAACTTTGTCCGCAGCGTTCACCTGTTCATGACCTGCGGTCATATGGGAATTCTTCTAGAATAGGACACCAATGTATCCAACTTCTGTTGAAGTTTATGTTTACTTTGGAATGCTCTGCAAGTAAAGAATATCAAGTATTTTTAGACGGTTTCCCTGAAAATAATATTGAATGGATACGCTAATTTGTACGGTTTAGTATAAGATTACACTGATCACTGAGTGTAGCAGATGTTCACATACTAATTAGTGTCGCAAACCAATCTACACGCTACTTTACTTAGTTTTGGTATATTGTTTCCGTTGCCCTATACCCTCTTCCATTTCCTGTTTGGTATTCTCCAACTTTTAGTTATCCAAGCGAATTTCATGGACAATGTTGCAGGAAGTCTATTAGTATTGTCAATGGTCGTACAGTCTCTTCACTTACCCATCCTTTGAATTAGAAGAGCATGTAAAATGTCCCCTATAAGCATAGAGTATGTCACTGTACCATTGTGTCTACGTTACTAGACTTAACGGTGCTGTATAGCTGTAGTTCATCAGTCCAGGCGCTTAATTCCCTAGTGATGAGTCACGAGTTCATGCTTAACCCTCCTACCGATGAATGGGCAGCTAGTTAATATCTTTATTTCTCACACAGTAGGTGTGGCCCATTGCCTAGTGTACGATTGTGTATGTGGTTGTCGAGTGGATTTCCACTCTTTTCTGCACTATGGTACTATTTAATCATAATTCAGTGTAACAGGATGGTTCCTCAGCATGTGCTTTTGTCACTGTTTAATAAATAGAAACAGCGTTAGTTAAAGACAAAAATTATATGCTTTCAGGAAAACGGAAGCGTTCTCAACAAGAATGTCCCAAGCGGACAGTGAGACCAAGACTTTAACAACAGCTTTCTTATTCAGCCTTAAAAGTAAAACAACGCTCTGAGGATAGTGGGATTAGAATTCGAAACAAACATCAAATTGCTGTAAAACGAAATGTATCACAAAAGACACAGAAATAGGTTTACCAAAAGAGGAAAGTAGACACTCAATACTGAGCAGCAACTAAAATGAGAAAACGAAGCAATGGGATTACGTTTACATATCCTATTGTCTATTAATGGTGGCGTGTACTGCACAGCAGTCCGCTCTTTTCTATTGTATGGCTGTGAAATATGGCCAGTGAAGGTGATGTGATGAAATGAGGTGTGGCAAGTTGGACAGTTATGCAGTAATGCCTGGCCTTATGTTGATTTGGATGGATGATGTTTACATACTGGTACTAGTCGAACAGTGTAGGCGAATATAGCTGAGAACTTGTATTGGGGAGATTTTGCCATCACATTGCACAACAAGCATTCTGCGAGAAAACGTCACACCTCGAATTAGTTTGCACTCTCCTCATCTCATGTACTTGACATCAGTTCTTTACCTCAACTTTTCCGTAGTATTGATTGAGAGGTTTTATTTCTCATTTTTAGTTGACTGATTAGATATATCATGCGGTAAAACGTTGTTATTTACGGGATTACAATTCCGACACAATTTGTTGTCTCCATAGCCTTAAACCATGTCTCGCATTTGTGCTACGGATATGCACAATCAGTTGTGTCCGAAAAACTAAATCAACAGACAATTCTGTTTCACTACACAAAATATTTCATGAACAACTGGAATAGGATTACATTCTGCCACAGTACCGAAGTTTTCCGCCTGTTTCTTACTGCTCATTTTGAAGCTGTAGCTCATTGGCTTAGCAGTTGGCTTGCAACTAGTGGGCCACGGTTTAAAAATCTCATTCCACCTACCAAGATTTTTACCTGCCAGGCAGTGTCATCAGCCCTCATACAATAGGTTTGGCTCATCGCCTGCTACACGAGTGTGGAAATGATTGTTGAGTTCCTTTTATTCATTTCTCACTTCCCAATTAATGGCACCGTTTTCTATCCTAAGTGATTCATGTTTTGAAGCGTTCGCCTGTTGTGCTGCATGAAAATCTAACTCTAGAAAATATCCCACCAATGAAGTAACCTCACCATTGTGAATTACAGATATTTTCTCAACCCTTGTGAGCACAAGAAACCACATTCTGTTTACAGTCATACACAATGGAAAAGAAATGAAGCCACAGCTACATATCTACAGGTGTTTTGCCCTAATCCTTAATCTGAGTGATACATACTCAATCAGAAAAGCGGATTAGAAAGGCTTTTTTATTTCCTCAGATTTTATTGTCTGCATATGCCCCAAGGTGCTGGAGCTGTGAAGCTTATCTGGAAACTACCTGTAGGGGTGTGTGTTACAATTCCGTAACGTTTGATCAACCCTACTTAACTTGGTGTGCTCTAGTACCCGCTTAATCAGTACTTTACCTAACGTGTAAGTACCGACAAAAAAACACAAATCAAAAGAACTGATACGGAATATATTATCAGGAGCTATGTATTTAATTAAAGTAAATGTGATAATAATGAATGGGGGAAAAGTTTAATCAACTTATCTGGCTTGTGAGGCTGAACTAGGGACTCGGAGTACGTGCGTGGTAATCAGCACAATGGAGCGCGAAACGGTGTCCAAGCCTGCTTGGATGCATGCTCGTTAAAACAAGACTTAAAACGCCCTAAGCATCCGGAGGCAAGCTAGAGACTCATTTAGTTAACTTAATTTGAACTATTTATTTTAGCCTTAGTTATATTTTGGTGCCGGAGGGTGCACTACATACCGTTCTAAAACTGGTGCATCTAAAAATGACATACCAGTGGCATTAAGAGGAAGGAAATACACTGTGGTGAACGCCCGTTGTTGCATAGAAATGTATATAGCAGTGATGATTGTTGAGTTATGCGTTTCACAAATCCACCTCATTGTGTAAAGTCCCTCTGTAACAGGTTCCTTAGTTATGTCATACTGAGAGTGGTATTTAAAGTGAACATGATTGCTTTTAGTCAGGCACTTTCAGATCGTTGCCATGGTTTAATACCTGGATCGTTCTACCAAGCATGCAGCTTCAGAAACATGCTTCCGTGAAAACTTATGAAATGCTTTAGTGCTCAGGAGTTTCAGATTTGGCCTTTGATTTCAAAGAACTAGTGGAATTATGCAGTTTTTGTCAACCTACGAAAGGATTCCCTCCATGAAAATATTGATCGCAGTTCCAGTTGGAATTTATTCCGGAAACAAAACTAGGCGTGATCAAACAGAAATAATGCTGGATGAAGAAACCCTTGACTTAGTCTGGATCGTGTAGGGAATTGTAAGGTTCCTGGTTTGACAACCTAAGTCAATGGTTCGGAGCCGTGCAGTATTGCAGGAAATCGATCACGGTAACGCAAGCTGGAGATATACCCTCTCTTCATTGTTGGTGCCACGTTATATGCTATCATTCCTTTAATCTTGTCTCTGTGTTATAACGTTTTGCTATTACTGATATTCCTTTATTTTCCCTCTTCGTAATATCTACCAGGATAATCTGACGTGTGGCTTAACGATTCAGTCCGTTGTGCAATGGTATGTCTGTTTTTATGTCCAACTACCCGTGAAGCCTACGACCAGTGATTACGTGGTGACTGCTAACTCATACTTATGAGATGGTAATGTGCGCCATTAAATCAGATTTTCAGAAGTGATTTTTAATCTGGTATCTTTTGACCACATTCTGAACCTTTCCAGCTCTCTTTTCACGGTGACTTTAAACTGAAAAGTGAAGGTATGTGTAAGTGTCTACTGCGAAACACCTCCCTTTCGCGGGCCACACACGTCGTGAAGGTTAACTGACTGATAGCAGGCATAACCTGTTGGTTTAAGCACTCGATTTCGGTGCATCGCTTCTGCGCGTGATTCATGACCTAGTAAATAATTCTTTGACAGGTTAAATTGCAGAAATATTTAATAAAAATACACGATTTGTCGACCGGCTGCATGAACGTTTGTCAAGTTCACTTACCTTAGCTCACCAGGAAAGCTTTCAAGAGGACATTGTATACAGATTGCTCGTTTGAATTTCTCCGTGATTTTGGAGTCACTCATCATTTAGGAGGCTTGATGTTAAGATCTGTGTAAGATGAGATTAGTTACTATTCGTGAGACAACAAAAAACTAAAGCAATCGCTTTCATCGTGGATACCGGCACCAACTTATCTGAATTCCAAACACCTATATATCATATACCACCGTTTTCTTTTTATTCCAGCCCCAGTTTTCCACAGCTGCTGACAGTATTGTTCTGTCTCATACTTCTACCCCAGTATGCCGATATGAAGTGTGAAAAGCTAGGCTGATAGTCATTTATGCCAAATCGTTTATTCACAAGCCTTATGACAAAGTAACTGAAATGACCTGATTAAGTTGAAGGTGAACGTAGAATGTGACGAACATATCATCACTATAGAACAGTATGACTGCATACCATTTCATGTACCCTATGACTAAAAATACTAGACAGGAGTCTTTCTGGCTGTCGACGATTCATTCTGATATGAGCCACATAACTTTTACCACTGAATGGATGTATAATCCAATATTGCATGGGTTTAAGAAACATCTAAATGAATATGATAGACCAAATGAGTTTATGAATAAGTAAAGTGGTAGTATGTCTAATATTAAAGAACGTCAATGGATGTATGCATCTGATGTAAGCTACCATTGTTGGTCGTAACTGACTCCACGTATGGTTTGCGGGACAAATGATTTCCAGCATTCCTGAATCCCTCCAGAAAGAAGCTTAAACTTAGACACACTGCTGAAACCTGACGATTTCATTTGGTGTTGATGTGTCCTGGTTCGATTGTCTTAAGATTAATTCTAACAGACTTTGCTTCAGCTGTCACTGGACTTTACGAAGGTGGATAGCTGCTAAGAATATACAACACAGTAAAGCCAACTAAACCGTTATTGGTTGACTTTCTCATTGATCGACATATTCTCACTATCCACGATTCTATTGTTTGACTTCAACACTGGTGACGGTGATTCCGTCGCAAAGTTATTTGGATTCGCTTGTTGTTCAGTAGAGACTGTATATCATTAGGATTTCCTCATATTAGATCGCAACCACGTGTGTACTCTGACTGAATACGATCTTTCAAGATATTAGTTCTCCAGGGTATATGAGCTAACAATTAATTTCAACAGTATACCTAAGCTCGAATGAGGTTGATAGTGAGTGTCCTTGATGTGCACACTTATTGTTCTCATCTCAAACAGCTCGCCGTAAGCTCTCGCTCGATTACATAAATTTAAGCAGATTTTCAACAACAAAGCATCCCTGTTTAACACTGTATGAGAACTGATGAAATAGACGCATTTAGTCACTAACCACAAGATTTTCTGCGAAAGAAATGTCTCCTTCCAATGTTTTTATTGTCGAAATGCAGGTTCGTATTTATATTTGGTAAAAGTACTAGAATTTCTAGCCAGTGGGTAAATGGAATGGTATTGCTTGAATCACATGACTGATATTGATACCAGTGAAATGTGTTAGACAGACAAAAGCAACGTAGAATCTTCCACAGGAGTGTATCTGTTCTAGTGTCTCTTCACCGTACCTTGCAGTGAAATAAAAGCAGACAAGAGTATAAGGTATTCAAAAGACCACGTATTTCGTCAGTGTTTTCGCCTAACACGTTTGTGTCGTCTGCGCACTCCAAGTCAACCAGATTCCTTTCAGTGAGTAGGTCAGTCCGTGTGAATTCAGAGAAACTTTAGGTTATGTCCACTAATACATCTATGAAGAATTTAGACAGTAACGGTGGTAGTGGACACCCCAGGCAGACACCACTGGTTGTCGTCAATTGGGATGATAACTCCTTATAAACCCTTACATGGCTGTTTGAATTTGAGTAGAGAGCTTTGGTTAGCACTAAATACTTGCTTGGTATTCCTTTCACAATCAGACACTATCACAATACCTGCCTTTCAGTCGACGGAGTCAGATGCCTCCTTTAGGCCAGTGTCGGCCGCCGGTAGGTATATCTGTGTTCCAAAACTTGTTGTAAGATGAGGGATTCACTGTCGTCTAGGTCGAGAACGTGCCTGATCCTCTCAAGTTTGCTACTCTCGAGCTCCACTTAGACATCGGATAACTATGAGCCCAGGATCTTGGTCATAACGTTGGTCGAACTGATTCTCTTATGATTGTCACGAGAGGACCTCTGCTTTTTATAGACTGGAATGATCAGTGAAGTAGGCCAGTCTTGATTCCCATACTTTACCTGAAGAAATGAAAAAGTTTGATATGCACTTGGCAACGTTTTGCAGGTTCGTACAGTAGGCGGTGAACCACATCTATTATGTAAGGGCTAATTATGCTTCCTAGCTGCCCAAACCCCCTGGCAGGTGGAACGGTGTTTGAAAGTCATCTCCTTAGACCAATGAGCCACAACATGCTACGCTACCTACTACCTCCGTTACTCCACTCTAATTACCTAAATCCGTCAGGTCCTGCTGTGTTTCATCTTTCCAGGTTGGGAACTGCCTTCTCAACTTCGAGATCTAGAGGATTGGCATCTACGTCCCATTCAGGTTTTGGCTCGATGTTGGGCAACTGAAGCACTGCTGTAAGCCGGTTGAACTGTCTTCAAAGTATTCTCTCTAACTTTTTAGCCTCCTGCCCTCAAAATTTATCAGTGCCTCATTCTTTCCGGTAATGGTCTCACTCACCATTGTCTCCTTGTCAGTATCCCTAATGAGCCTGAACAATTACTTAGTATTATATGGTAGTGATGCCTTCTCCATCTGCCACTCACGACTGCTGGTAGACGTTGCGAAAACTCTTAGAGTACGTCTGAGCTGCCTTCGCTCGTCATTGTGGTCAGAGCCAGTTAGGGTGATTCTTTTCGCATCATTTATTTCGGATGAGGTTACAGAAATTCACTGACGTTCGCTAATCTTTGGATGTAGATTAGCAACTGTCTTTACCACTGTTTCTATAACAGACTGCAAGATATATCTTCATCACTCACATAATTATGACTTTTTGTACACCTCACTGTCTGAATATATTTGTACTTCCCTCTGCTTTTGCTATGTCTGCAAGTTACTGAATGAATTGAGCACAAGACGAGATGTTCACAACCCTTTTTAACAGGAGTTTCTCTTCTCCTTCTCCTCTTAGATTTAAAGCTGATGCGTTGTAAAGATAAATCGGATGTCTGTAATACTGTAAATAAAAAAATACACACTAACGTGTAATTTGGCTACGGAATGTAGCCGATTGATACCATCACCAACAGGTCCTTACGAAGCTTATAAAAATGGTTACAAAGTCATACTGTAAGATGACTTCTGAGAAAACTCTAGAATATACTCAGACGTATTTCATATTTCCCTTTTTCAACCCGCTACACCTTAATATATGGGTGATAGAAGTATTAGTAATGGGAAACATTACTACGGGAATAGTAAGTGACTATTACTAGTTCTTTAGGCTAGGCTCTCCAAAAGACTCTATATATCTTTATATTTAACCTTCCTATTGGCTTTCTGAAGTTACTGGGTATGTAGACCAGCAGTTTTTTTACTAATCCGAAAATGTGACTTTGCTTAGGATTTCCAAATGACTTCACTTCAAACCGTCACACTACCATTGCTCAATAATACAAGACTCGTTCTTCGTCTGATCACTTTCTGCCACAATTATTCCTCAGAGGATATGGAAAAATAAGCGTTTTGGTTACTATGAGTAAATGTGAAATATAGCATCTCGAAATAACTTTCAGATATGTGCCATACTTTGTCGTGTTTCGGTCAATTGGTTCGTAAATGAATTCCAATTGGATGGTGTTCCAGTCTATTGACTATATAGTTGTCAACAGTATTCCATAGCGTGAAAATGAGTTTCTGGGGACGTAGTCACTTAACTTTGTTGATTTTGTGCAACTTGTATAATTTAGAATCTTTATATTAATGGATCAGCGAACGTGTTATTAGTAATACTTGTGAGATATATCATTCTTCGGTAGTTTTTACTCATAGTTTTTTTAAAAAGGGTAATATTTTAAGTCGATGGCGCGGTTATATTTATTCACTTGTCAAGTATTAGGTAACAGTCATCTTTTAGAGATCAGTGTGTAGTATCTTTTTCATAGATCGGAAATTTTTTCCCCAGTTTGGCTCTTTTTATGACTCGACTTTCTGGACTAAATCTATAGGTGTTAGAAACCGGTGGTTGTAGACCTTAGTTGATGTCATTCTGAAGCGTTGACTGTATCTCTTCCTGTGGTATTGAACGCTTTATTCCATATCTATTCTTTCATGTCAATCTTTGTTGTTTGTTCTTTCCAGGCATGAAAATCTGTACTTGTATAGAGTTCTGCATTGTTTTTCTCATTATTTTTTCTAGCTATCAATGCTAGGACTGTGACTGAGTAATTTAGACACTCATCTTTAAATCACTGCATCATAGATTTGAACAACTCCTTATGTACTGGGATTTGTGGACTAAAGTATCAATAACCTGCATGCAGTAAGGGTAGTTCTCTGCTTACGTGATTGTATTTACACTTCATATGATCAGTGTCTAGTTAAATGGACACTCCAAGGGAATAAGGAAATACTTGTTATCATTACTCGTGCGTATTGACGTCTCAAACTTCAGTAGTAAATATCCCCAAAGCACAGATGAATGGGTATCAAAACACAAAACTGTTACACAAAATAAAACAGCCATCTATGCAAAACATGACAATGTGATAACAAATGTAGTCTGTTCACTGAATCCAAAGTAGCCGATTTGAAACAAAGGGAAGATAAATTGACGTGTAATAAGATCTCACCAATGCATTTAGGACTACGTTGCTACTTTTTGTGACCACCAGTGGTTATTACACTCTTGTATATCTTCCGTTTTGTCTCATGATGGTTAGTAAGATAGTTAATATCAACACGGGACCTGGAATTACTGCTTAGCGGTCCAAGTAGTCACACTTCATCAGTACATCAAGCGAAATGGTACCAAGATGAAAGTTTAAAAAATGAGGATAAAAGTAATTAAAAGTGATAGAAAGTTTTGAGAAGTGAACAGTGGTGAAATTTTGCATGTCGATTAAAATAAAGTTAATGCGTCATCTGCAGTCTCCAAACCTCCGGTTTCACTTGTCACACAGTACCCCAACCCGAAAGTCTACATTCCTTTACACGGCTCAAAACAACAGTCACAGACTGATGCGATGGTTTAGTTTGCCCGCCTCACTTTTTTCCAGCCTGAACCTACTTCAGCTAACACTATGCGACAAAGTAGACGGTGAGTGGGTATGCTTGACACATGCCCCAGCCATGTAAGTGGATGAAAACTTGCAGTTTCATCAACTGACTTTCTTATTCTGCTTAAAACTCTACAATTAACTTCTACATTACTGACTTATTGGTACCACAACACAAAACTTTTTATGGGATGGCAACTGTTATCGAACACCTGAAGTCTTCTCATATCCTTTATCTTTAGTGACCATGTTTCACAGTCACGTAGTAGAGGAGAGTAGAAATCCACGCGAGTATACTTGGCCTTCAATAGACAATCGGATATCATGCCGAAACCGTAGATGACCTAAGTTGCCGAAAACTGAACGAACCTTATCGTATGATAGATAGCGTTACGTGCTGAAATTCGGTATTCGGTGTTGTCTGCAAAATAATGATGTCGTTTAAGATACTTCTACCTCTTTTTCAAGTAAATTTGTTTTTTCTGCATAACCTTTTGCTCAACTAGTAGAAGAAAGTATAATTTTCATGTTCCATTGGATTGTTTATTAGTATTCTGAGCGAATAATTTTCAGTAACTAAAGACTCATTGTTGTTAAAATCGTGCGCCTCTGCTATAACAGTAATAATGTATACAGCCACTCTTTAGAATAACGCTAATTTTGGAGTGGAGATTCTGGTTCAGTAGTTTGAGTGTTTGCCTTTTAATCAGCAAACCGTGAGTTCGAATTCTACTTGACCTAATGAGGTCAAGCAATTGGATGGTAATAGTTGACTGTGGCACACATTTGTATGTGACTATCAAGTTTCACATCAGTATGCTACCAAGTTAAAAGTACAGTCACCATCGTACAACTGAACCCGTCGCAAATGCCTATGTTTTAGGTTATGAGCTACACTTGTTGTTGTGAGGGCCTGTGATACTCTCTGGTTGTCCAAACATAAAGTATGCTAATCTGGGTCTAAACTCAGGCTATATTGGGGGGAAGTTAGACGCTTAGTCCATTTGTCGATACAATCTCTCATCATCGACATCAGAAATCCTTTGCGTATCCTACCGGCATTTTTGAATGCTTCCTGTCATCATAATTAGTCTGCCTGCAGGTAATTAAATCTAGTGTCCATTGATTTTGCTAGTTTTTCCCTTCTTTGAACTCTACTCCAGTGGTTTTAAGGCTTTTGCATCCGCGTATTGTCATGAACCCCATACTAGGATTAAACAGCTTGCAGTCCTCCCAGGTTTACGATATTTCTCCAACTGATGTCGGTCCATGATGAATACCAACTTGAAATCAATAAATAAGTCGCCACAAACCTTAAAATTGAATGAATCCCTTTCTTATTGGTGTGTTACTAAGAGCTATGATATTTTTTATCACTACTCCTTGGCATTATTAGTCATCTGAAAGTGTGTGTGACAGACAAAATCAATGTAGAACCTCATATACAAATGCATTAGTCCAACTTGCCACACTTCACAGTAGTATATGAGGAACAAGAGGATAGGAAGGACTGATATTAAAATAGACGAACTTGTATGACTGGATAAGCAGTTTGAAGATGAAGGATAGTGCAAATAATCAAGCTTTAAATGTTAAGGAGTGAATACATTTGCGTCACTGTGACCGATTTTCAGCCGTCACCTGGATCCCTCAGTTACTGATTCCGATCATCTCTGGACCCCATCTTGGTAGTCTACATCTCCTCACATGGCCCAGACCAGCAGTCAAGACTTCATGGACTAGTGCCAGGTTTCGGCCTGGCCACCGTAACCTTCTTTCTGTCTAGTCCAGTTTTCCTTAGCGTGACATGTCGAGGTAGGCGGTGGTTTGGTATGCACGACACATGTCCAAGCCATCTCAGTCGATGAAGGTTGGCAACCCCATCAATCGGTTCACCTATTTTTCGTAGTACCCTTCGCCTGACCTCAACATTACTCGCACGGTGACTCCACCAAACATGGGCAATGATGCGAAGACTCCTATGATCGAAACCCTACAACCCCTTCATGTTATCTGCTTCCGACTGCCATGTCTCACAACCGCATAGCGGGACAGAACGGATTGCAGCGCAGTATACTCAACTTTTGATGGATAGTCTGATATCTCCCTCAGTTGGCACCAGAGATGGAGGAAGTTGGCAAATGCCAAATGGGCCTTCCGTAACCGAGCTGAGATTCCGTCGGCAACCATCCCGTTTGAATGATGCAACTCCCCATGCAAGTGAAGTGTTCGACACATTCCACCACTTCATTCCTTATCAATAAAGCGAGAGTAGTTTTAGACCAGTCCTGGAGTATCATCTTACGTTTGACAGGTGCGAACCAGACTCAGATTTTGCTCAAAGTGTCCAGAAGACCGTACATTTTCTCAGCGTCTTCACTAACACATATGAAGCGACGTCTTTTTTATCTTTACAGTTTATCATTACCATGCTAGTTGGTCCACTTACCTGTAATACTGTTTTCCTCTTTAGATGATGGATCATATGATGAGTTATACTCCAAAAAGTCCGGAGAAATCAAGCCCAAGTTTTCCAGAGGACGTAGAAGATGATGATGAGGATCCAATGGATTTAGAGCCATTAAAGTATTCCTCTCTTCGACCACATGTGAATAAAAATAACATCAGCAACCATAATACTAGCAACACTACTAACAATACCACCAGTAGTAATACGCATCATGTAAATAATCATTGTACCGGTGGAGGTGAGGATGGTGATGATTATGTTGACGAACAACTTGATGTTACCATGTTGCCACCAGAAGATGAAGACGATGATATCAATGGAGGAACACGTGGATTCATGTTAAATGTTGACAGTCCACGACACCATCCAATGGATTCAACAGAGAAAAAGGTGCACTGGTCAAATCAAAATGTTCAAACCCTATTGGACTGTGTTGAAAAACACTTGGATGAATTTAATATACAAAAAAAGCATAAACAAGTCTGGCAAATAATTGGTACGAAATGGAGTCATTAGGTTTTACTATGGAGCATTGTTATAACAAATGGAAGAACTTACGCCGAGATGTGCGCTTATTGGTAAATAATCCACAGAAAGCAGTACGTAATGCTGATATCTTGCGACGTGTTGCACGTTTAATTCTAGTTATCTATCCAAATATCGATGCAACAACAATGCAAGTGACTGGTGATCGAATCAGTACAAGTAAATCTACTCCAAATACACCCGGTGGTCCTGGTAGTCTATCGTCGAATAAAATGGCGTTATCTTCATCCTTACACGCTCCAGATTCACCTTTATATTTTGGTCTGTCTGGAACGCGTACACCACATTCCTTAACACCAAATTTTCATTCCTCAAATGGTCTAAAATATAAAACGGAGCAATCAGGTTATGATACATTGTCAACCACTCCACCTGTACCGTGTACAGCATTGTTCACTAGTAATTCACGGAGTTCAGACACCGATAAGAAGATGCATATATCATCTACACCGAATTCAGTTAATCATGACAATAGTACAACATCGTCGTCAACAGAAGCAATCTCACAAAATACTAATTCAGGATTTCCGTTCTTCTTAAATCCCGCTGCTGCAGCTCTCCTAGTTCAGTCACAGCTATTCAATGATTTACTCCATCAACAGCAAACAGCATTAACACAAGATGAGTCTATGCCGCTGGATAGCATACAACAACGTGAACAGTTTTTGGCTTTAACTACCTCATTAAAAAATGCTCTACATTCTACTAATAGTACTACTGTTACTACCACTGGTACAACAACACAACAGACTACTAACACAAACAGTTGTGGCAAGAATATCACTATAAATGGGGATTTCAATACAGAGAATATTGCTAGTGTTGTTAATAATAACAATAATTCATTGCATGTTGCCAATTTCGCCTCCAACTTGTTAAATGGTTTAAGTAGTCTGGACACATCACAGTATCTAAGCTTGCTAGCCTCTGAGGCTGGTCTAAATGGTAGTGTTACCGGTTATCCCAATTATCATAATAGTTGCCAGCAGCAGCAACAACAACAACCGTATACTTCTGGGGTTGACCGGTTACCACCGGGCAGTGAGTTGGCTGGTGTTGTCCAGCGTCTACGCAATGAAGAGGCAATTCATCTACGCTTAACAGATATGGTCTCTCATTTAGCTGATGAATTGAGAGCAGCTGGTTTACGCAGACGTGCAACATTAGATCAGTTATTGAGATAATGCAAGGTGGTGGTGGTGGTTGTATGCCGACGGGAACAACAACAACAGCGAATAATCCAATCAATCATACTCATAAGAATTCAGAGACTACTCATCGTGTTTAATGATTGAGTATAAACATCAGAATGTTGTTCGATGTGCCTATGTCGTGTATTTTACTCTCCTTACTATATGTAGATGATTCCGCGAAATATCTGCGTGTAAAGTAATATGAGAGAAAAAGAAAGCGAAGTGAAACCGGTAAATTTTAATTGTTTAGCATATTTCTAGGAGAATTATCCTTTTGTATACATGTGACAAGAGACAATTGATGTCGGTGGTGATATCAAACAATTCCATTTTCCTCTGCCCCCCCCCACTGCATTATCAGTTTGCATTTTATTAGGAGAAATTGTGTATGGGGAGAAGAGGTTTTGTCAGTATCTTTATTGTTTTATTAATAAGAAGACATTTTCTCTTTTTTTTCTATCTGTTATTTTACAGTTTTTTTTATACAATGCATTTCTGTGTGTGTGTTCTCACTAAAGTGTCAAAAATGCTTTCTAGCATTTATTCACTCGTAGACTGCGCCGGTTTTCTTTTGAACACTGAATTTCTGGCACTCACTAGTAGGATTCTGTCGACTGTGAATCTCACTGACCTTCTTTATCATGGTGGTTGTATTCATCAGTGTCATCATCATCATCATTATAACCATATAATTCAATTGTTTATCTTCTATCACAATTGAGTGTAAGCAGTTTATAGTTTTGTACTTGCATCTAATTTTATTCATCTATCCGTTTCTTTGTGGTTCATCTATTTTGTGTGTATATCTTTCAAAGGGTATGTAACATATAAAATCTAGTAGTGTATACTTCCTTCTATTCTATCTTGGTTATTTGCATTTCCCTGTTGTCGAAAGGTGAAAAATGTGCAGTTGTCTCCCTATCTTCTTTTAAAATCTCTCTCTCAACACATTTTTTTTTGAATACTAAGTTCTATTTTTCTCTGTCTACTAACAATATGGCTGTGTTTTGAGTACACTTTTCTACAGTTCAGTTATTGTGTGACTTTGAATTCTGTAACCAGCCGTTTGTCGACACTCACCATGGTGTCAATTTAGAAAATCTAGTGTACTTGTCGCCCCCTCCCCTCCATATCATCCATTTTGTGTGTGTGTGTGTGTGAATAATCACTTGTTTATGGGTGGCAACTGGGTGGTGTGAATATGTGTTGTTTCTTTGCTCTTCTTTATTATTACTCCATACCCCTCTTTTCTTTTCGGTTATTCTTCTAGTGGAGAGAGGTGATTTGTGTGGTGGAACACTTTTTCCTGGTGTTGTTCATCTTACCGATCATTCATATTTTTGATAATCTAGTTTCTAACCAATATACTACCATATATTCTGTTTAATTCCTGGTGAAAATCTGTCCCTATTTTATTAATACAACCTCTAATTATATTGTTATTATTATTATTATCAGTAGTAGTAGTAGTAGTAGTAGTAGTAGTAGTAGTAGTAGTAGTAGTAGTAGTAGTAGTAGTAGTAGTAGTATTATCGCAACTGTTTTTTCGATGAATGGAATTTTTGTCAAGTATCATTGTGTTTTCTAAATGTATACAACAAGCAAGTGGAATAGTAATTCTTTGAATAGAACGCGAAGGTTTTCCTTTGTGATTATCGATCCTACTACAAACACCTTTGCATTCTAAATTGGCACTTTCATGAGCAGCATATCTGGTCACTGTCTCTTTGTTTTTGTTTCCGGTGTTTATCTATATTATATTTGCATCTGTGTATGTGTGTGTGTGTGTCTTCATAAACATTTCATCTACTTGTTTATGCAATACAATCTTGTTCTGTTTTGTTTTAATTCTCATAGGAAAAACACCCAGTCATTTGTTATCTTCATGCCTTTTTTTGGATATAACTTTCTACGTTTTTTTCATAGCTCGTGATGTAACCCACTTTATGTGAACATGGAGTCTTGAAAGTTTCACCCTCAACATCCCATTTCTTCTCGATTCCGTTTACCTTTTTTATGAGGTCTTTTTATTTTTGATTAAAAATGCTGAAACTCAGTTCTCTTTTTTTCTCCTTACTATATTTATTCACTGATAATATTAACACTATTATTATTAATAATTCCAATATAGTATTTTCTAGAAACAAGGTAGGCATCATTCGAATGAATACGTTCCATTTATCTTACAATCCTATTTTTTGTACTGTGTCTCTTGGTGATTTAATTTCCTTACCTGGGTCTGGTGTACATGTGTGTATGTGTGTGCATGTGTGTATGACTGCGCACATTCATCGAATTCCCTGTTTTTAATGAAAGAACCAAAAGAGAACTGACGCTATTTTTCACTTTCAATCCTATTTTTTACACATTTCACTACTTATTCTGTAAGTGTTAGTAGTAGTACACTTCTAGGTAGTAGTGGTGATGATTGTTCACACCATAATAATCAATTTTATTTGTTTGAGTAAGTTATCGTTCGCTGTGGATGAAGGGCACCCGTGCTTATGTGTGACCCAGCTGTTTCAAACAATAATACTGTCCAGGTTGATTTGTGTATTCTGGTCAATTATAAAGTAATAATGGTAAAGTATCCTTGTTTTGGAGGACTATTATTTTGTTAAATTTTTTTTAGCAGAAGAACAAATGTGTATACTCGATCTATGGACTAATTTTGACCATTGTCAATAAGTATATGTCTACGTGATTTTCGTACGTCGGTTGGCTTTTTGCATTTTCTTATTTCCCACCCACTCCATTCTCCTGGCAACAAAATAAATGAAAGCCAGTGATAAATGCAAGTGTGAATGTATGTGCTTGCATGTATTTTGTTTTATTCTGTGGAGTATATTATATTACATAATCGTATTTCTGTGCATTTTCTTTCCTACAACTACGGTTGTCCTTACTATTAATAATAATAATAATAATAACAGTAGTGGTGTATAACTTGCTACAAAACATTTTAAATTAATTACTTATTCTTTTTTGCCATGTACATGAATTCCCATTGCATTTACACATATAATTAATGTGTTGGTTTGCCTTTTGTCAATCAAGGGAATGGAATGCGGGGTGGTTAGTATAGCGCTCAGTAACGTGACACTGTGACTTGGCTTTCAACCGGTGACTCACGGGTTCGAATCATCATCATTATCAACAGAGGACCAGGCATTACTGCGTAACGGTCCGAGTTGCCACACCTCATATCAGCACATCAAGTAAAAAGGTAGTGAGGTGAAGGATGAAGATAAGTGAATGCAGTCAAAAGAAATATAAAGTACGAGAAGAAAGGAAAGAGGAGTGACAAAATAGTGAGATTCGGTATAGCGTTGTTAAGATGAGGATAATGTGTGTATACATCTGCGCCACTGACTTCGGTTCTGAGCCATATCACCTAGGGTCTCCAACCACTGGTTCCTCTTGTCCCGTGGACCCCAACCACCTAGTCTGCATCGTCCTACATGGCTTAAACCAAGTCAGAGACTTCATACATTGGTGCCATGTTTTAGTCTGGCCACCTCGGGCCTTTTTCCAGCCTGGACCCACCTCAGCCAACATTGTGTGACGAGGCAATCGGTGACTAGGCATACGTAGTACGTGTCCCAACCATCTCAGTCGATGAAGGTTCACAACCTCGTCGACTGACTTACCTCTTCTCCCAAAACTCTACACCTAACTTCTGCATTACTCACATGGTGACACCACGGAATACGTCCTATACTACGAAGGCAACGGTGGTCAAACACCTGAAGCCTTTTTGTATCCTCCACTTTCAATGGCCATGTTTCACAACCATACAGTAGAACAGAGCGGACTGCTGTGCAGTACACGCGACCCTTAATAGACAAACGAATATCACGACGGCGCCATAGGTGGCGCAAATTGGCAAAAGCCAATCGAGCCTTTTGTATCCGTGCAGAAATCTCATCGGCAACTGACCCACCGGAGTTGATGCTACTTCCCAGGTAAATGAGGTGGTCAACACACTCAACCACTTCACTCTCTATTGTTAACCGCGGTACCGCTGAAGACCAGTCCTGGAGCAAAAATTTGCATTTGGGTGGTGAAATCGCATCCCAAACATTCTCAAATTCCCACTCAAAGTGTTCAGAAGACTCTGCATCTTGTCAGCGTCTTCACCTAACAGGACTATGTCATCTGCATATTCTAGATCTAAGGAAAATTCACCTGTGATCGGGTCAACGTCTGTGTAATAGGTGACGAGAGGGAAACCTCCATAAGAATATCTATGATAAAATTAAATAAGAATGGAGATAGTGGGCATCCTTGACGGAAGCTAGGCAGTTGCATTAACTGCCACACAATAGGTATGTGGCTCACTGCCGTCTACTGCGTGAATAATTCAAAAGACTTCTGAGTGGATATTCTCCGTTTTTTGGAGCAGAACTAAACACAAGCTTATGCATAGTCGTGGTCATTCTCGTGTTGCTTGGAGTTAACAGAGTTCCATTTAACACCTTAGCAACGTGGTTGTTGTAATTTTTTCTCTTTATCTGATAGTAATTTTCTGAACCGCACGTTTTTCCGTTTCACCTTAACACTGGCCTTGGATGTAATTGGTTGAGTGGTTCTAACGGCTGCCCTAACACGAAGTAAAATAACCAATTCCGTTCCTGATAGGGTGGCCTTGAGAGTCACTTGATTGGTCTCGCATATATTTGCGACGTTCGCATGTGCACAACCCGATGCATACAATGGGTTACACAATTTGGCTCCTCCAGCCTTGTAAAGCAGAACACGAAGTTTGGTTGATGCTTACGCTTTCAAAATCATCGGAGCCGCCTGTAGATGTACAACTACAGTGCCTGTTCACTAGGCATCGCGGTTCATAAAAACGAAACAACTGATTTCATGCACAGGAAATACAATAACAATAAATGATTCCACTCAAAATATAATTCACACATTAATGGGTGGGGATTATGAAAAGCTGTTCATCAGAGGTGTGCATTAATGTTACCAAAGAAGTC